ATTCCCTCAGTTTGTGTTTTCTTTATTGTCTCTATTTCAGTTTTCAGGTCCTGAACTGTTTCCTTCAGGTGTTTAATTGTATTTTCTTGGCTTTTTTGGCTTTCCTTGATTTCTTGCATCTTTTGGTTTGTCTTTTCTTCCATTTCTCTGAAGGATTTTCTGATTTCCTCTCTTAGGGTCTCTATCATCTGCATGAAGTTGTTTTTAAGGTTGCTCTCTTTTGCTTCATCTGTATTGGGATGTTCATGTCTTGCTGGTGTAGAGTCCCTAGACTCTGGTGGTGTCATATTGATTTTCCTGTTGTTGGATGTGTTCTTGTGTGACTCATTCTTGAAAGATGATTTTTCAAAAGTAAATAAAAGAGTTAAAGGACAGAAGATGGTGGTACACAGCTGCCGTGTATGACCTTACTCATGGCTGATTGTGGAGTTTAGCATGTTTTTAAAACATTTGCACAGACCAAATGCTCAGGATCCATTAGTACTTTTTTCTTTTTCTTTTTCTGTAGCTCCAGCTCTAGATTGTCAAGAATAGCCTTGAAGTCTGTAGGAGGCACACAGGTCCTTGTGCTCACAGAGGATGTATAAAACCTTCCTTCTGCTGGTGCACAGAAGGCTGGGTGCGGAGGTGGTTAATAGCCCCTGCCCATGTGGTTAGGGCACACCAGTTCCCTTCCCCAGCCCCTATCATGAGCTTGTTTTTCTTGATCCGTCTGTAGAATTTGTCTTTATGGGAGATGTCACAGGTAGTCAGTCTATAGAGCCATCTATATGGAAGTTGTCACATGTACTTTACAAAGCGTTCTGATATAATCGTGTCTTAAGCTTTATTGTGAGCCCGGGATTGAGTTGATTATCATCAGGAAACTTTTTTTCCAAATTGCGCTGTTCTTAAATATGCCTAAAATAAACTACTAGAGGTCAGACTCTTGAACCAACACTAGCTACTGAGTTGTGTTGAAGCAGCCTTCCTGTGCCTCTCTCTGATCGACATTGCTGGCTGTGGTGTTTGTAGAGACCCCCCCACACACACACCTCTGCCTTTAGTGTGATTACAGACGTTTACCACCGTGACCACCTTTGTCATTATTACTAATTTTTTTCTTTAAAAAAATCTTTAGGGGGATGGTTTTGACAGAATTTTATGTAGTCCAGCTTAGCGCCATCCTGTCTTTGTAGCTAGGATGACCTTAGACTCCTGGTTCTCCTGCCTCAGGTGCTAAAGTACTAGGATCACAGCTGTGTGCCACCATTGTGTCACTAGTGACTAATTTTGACAAACTGTGACTTTGAAAGTCAAAGTGATGTATATTACATACATTCAGCCTGGCTTACCAGTAATTCTCTGCGGAGGCTAAGGCAGTAAGGAGGACCTACAGTTCTACACAGAGAGACTGTCTCAAAGAAAAACAAATCAAAACCAAAACATCAAATTCACAAATGCTAACTTTTTTTCCTAATAGAGGTGGCAATAATACCCTAGCATGGTGTTAGTAAAAGCTGAGGTTTGCCATTCTTATTCTTATACCCTGTATTTTTCATTTTTGTTGCAATGTTAGTTCCTGGTAGCCTTTTATTTTAAACTAATTCTGAATACCAACGTCTGAAAATATGTATCTATAGAATTGATGATAACATCTTAATTTCCATTGCATTTTTATTCATTTTGTGTTTGTGTTTACATATGTGAACATGGGTTTGAGATCAGGGGATGGCTTTCAGGAGTTTGTTTGCTCCTTCTAACATGTAGGTGGAATCACGCTTGGGTAGTCAGGCTTGGTGGTCAGTACCTTAACCCACTGAGATGTCTGGATTGATATCCCTGGGAGGCCTGCCCTTTTCTGAGGGGAGATGGAATGGGAGTTGGATCTGGGGGAGAGGGGAGGTGGGGGGAGAGACTGGGGAAGGGGAGGGTGGGGAACTGGTCAGGATATAGTGTATAAGAGAAGAATAAAAAATAACAATAATAGATGTTTACATTTTCATGTTCTTAAACACATTTTTTTTTTTTTTTAAATCACATAGAAGCATCCCCTTCTCTCTGGGAGATAGAATTTGCTAAGCAGCTAGCCACAGTAAATGAACAGCCTTTGGGGAATGGATTTGAGGAGATGATCCAATGGACAAAAGAGGGGAAACTGTGGGAGTTCCCAGTTAACAACGAAGCAGGTAGGTGTTACTCCCAAATATCCCAACAATTACCAGACTCCATTTCAGTCTGTAGTTAGGTGTGTACGTGCATCTCAGAACACTCGTGTGTGAGAAGAAACCTATCGATCATACTTTAAATTGTTGTTTTAAAGGTGGTTGGAATTTTATTCAATTCTAGATATTTGATAATAAAAATAGAGGAGTAAAATTACCTGTCAAAATGTATCATGGGGGGCTGGAGCGATGGCTCAGAGGTTAAAAGCTCCAAATGCTCTTCCAGAGGTTCTGAGTTCAATTCCCAGCAACCACATGGTGGCTTGCAACCATCCATAATGAGATCTGGTGCCCTCTTCTGGTGTGCAGATATATATAGAAGCAGAATGTTGTATACATAATAAATAAATAAAAATCTTTAAAAAAAAATGTATCATGGGAACCATGGTGTAGTCCAGTCAATAGAGTGTTTGCCTAGTGCATATGAAATCCTGGGTTGCATCCCCAGGACCCCATAAACTGGGCCTAGTAGCATGTGGGTTTAGCCTCACATTTTGGAGGTGGAGATAGGATCAGGAGTTCGGGGTCATCCTCAGCTATAGGACTCACAGAAGTTTGAGAACAACTTAGATGCCAGTCCTTACCTTTCACCATGTTTTGAAACATGTTTTGAAAGGTTCTGTCTTGCTTACTGCTATATGTACTGCCAGCTGACCCAGAGGATTCCAGCAATTCTCCTGTCTTGCCTCCCATTTCCAGTAGGGACTACACCGGGAGTAGAGAGGCTAACCCTATTGCATCTGGCTTTCTTACATGTGTTCTGAGAATCAACTCAAGTCATGAGACTTGGGAGGCAAGCCATCTCCCGAGTCCCAGAATGTATTTTTGTGCCCACGGTCCCAAAATATATATATGGTTGAGGTGTGTGTGTGTGTGTGTGTGTGTGTGGATCATTTACATTAACAGTAATTGTGGAGCAGGTGTGGTGGCGTACAGCTGTACTCCAGCATTTGGGACATGGAGGCAGGAGTGTCAGGACCAGGCTGGGTAGGCAAGAGCCTGCTGAAAACCAAAACAAAATGACAAGTTTACTGGGTTGTTGGATTATTTTCATTTTTGTATTTATCATTTGTGTTTTCTTCTCTTGGGCTACTTGAACATCCTTTTTATGATTCTATCTTATTTTCCTTTTAAATACTTACACATTATATGACTTTCTTCATAGTTTCCTCAGACGTTAACAATAATCGTGAGTAATAGTTGCTTCTTCAATAGGTGAAAGGTCCTGTGTCTCAGGCACTGCTTCTGTTTAGTCTCTACAACAACCCCAGGAGGGTGTCCTTTTCCTCCTCATGCTGTGTCTGGAGAAACTGATGCTCACAGTCACATTTGTTAAATTGGTGGTCAAACTAGGTCTAATTCCACAATTTATGCTTCTAACTATGTTATGCTACATCATTAATGTTAATGTTATGATGTAGGCTTTACATTCACAATTATGTTACTTTTTTATTTCTCAGGCTTTGATGACGATGGTTCAGAATTCCATGACCATATATTTTTGGATAAGCACCTGGAGGGCTTCCCCAAGCAAGGACCAATTCGCATCTTCATGGAGCTGGTGACTAGTGGCCTTTCGAAAAACCCATATCTGAGTGTTAAACAGAAAGTCGATCATATAGAGTGGTTTAGAAATTATTTTAATGAAAAACAGGATATTCTCAAAGAAAATAAAGTAGAGTTCACTTAACATCATGAAGAAAATTTTCATTTAAGCTGTTGAAGATGTATATTATAGCTAAATAAAAATTTTATTAAAGTTATCATGTGGATAATTGTCTCTGATTTAACTAATATAGATGTGAAATTACTTTTTTTGTTTGTTTGTTTTGGTTTTTTGAGACAGGGCCTGTGTATCCCTGGCTGTCCTGGAACTCACTCTGTAGACCAGACTGGCCTTGAACTCACAGAGATCCTCCTGCCCCTGCCTCCCTAGTGCTGAGATTAAAGGTGTTCAACACCAGTGCCTGGCTGTGAAATTACTTTTAATCTGAAATATATTTTTGTATAAAAAGAACATTCGAGATACAAAAGAATATCTGTGCATTAGTGATAACATCTGGGACCGTCTCATACGTTTTCATCAGGTGACCATGTTTCTTTGAAATTTGATTGTTATAAAGCTGATGGTATCAAAATCCTGTGTAATTGGTCCACTTTTACCATAACAAAATATCTGACTCAGGCTAATGTTATAAAGAAAAAACATTTTTAACACAGCATAATACAGACTTGGGTAAGGATTCATTACAAATTCAAAAGGCCCGTGAGGAGAAGAGATCGGTCACACCTCAAAACAGGCTAGAAATGGAGCCCCATGGTTCCTTCTGAGGGTACAGACTCACTTCTTCCATATTAGCCGAGATTTTAATGGATTATTTGACACTTTTGTACATATATACAATGTATCTTGATCATATCCACCCCCAGCTCCTTCTCCCACTTCCAGACCCTCCCAATGTGTTTCCCTCCCACCTTTGGTCTCTCCCTCGTTCTCTTCCTCTCTTCCCCTCTCATGCATACAGCTTTCTGCCTGCACGTATCTCTGCAGGCCAGAAGATACATTACAGATCTCATTACAGATGGTTGTGAGCCACCATGTGGTTGCTGGGAATTGAACTCAGGACCTCTGAAAGAGCAGTCAGTACTCCTAACCTCTGAACCATCTCTCCAGCCCCAGGTTCTTCACCTTTTAATGATTCACTGAGTCCAAATGGTGCTGGCTGCAGGTGAACACAAGCCCCACTTGTATTCATGCCTCCTGTGTCAAGTAGGATTAACAGGAGAGTGCAGGAAGGAGACAGAGGATTCTTCAGCCCCAGCTGAACATCCATTATCTCAGCAAAGCAAAAGTTTCACATTAGTGCTTCTGGTATCTTGTTAATCACAATGGATTCTTCAGCCCCAACTAACAAGAACCCCAGAATCTTAAATGTCCCAGTAGAGCCTTTCCTTCCCTCTGAAACATCACAAGTCAGCCCTCCGTCATCTGCTCTCAACATTCTTACCTACCAAGCTCCTACAGGACAGCTCACTGAGATCTCAACACTCAATGGCTTATCTAGCCCAAAGTTCCAAAGTCCTTCCACAGTCCTCCCCCAAACAACATGGCCAGGTCTGTCACAGCAACACCCCACCCCTGGCACTAACTTGTCTTAGTTAAGTCTTCTATTGCTGTGATGAAACAGTATGACTAAAGCAAGAAGGGGAGGAAAGGGTTATTCGATTTATACTTCCATATCACTGTTCATCACTGAAGGAAGTCGGGACAGGAACTCAAACAGGGCAGGAACCTGGAGGCTGAAGCTGATGCAGAGGCCATGGAAAGGGTGCCACATACTGGCTTGCTCTCCATGCCTTGCTCAGCCTGTTATAGAACCCCGGACCACCAGTCCAGGTGTGGCACCACCCACCGTGGGCTGGGCCCTCCCTCATCAATCGCTAATTAAGAAAATGTCCTACAGGCTTGTGTACAGCCCTATTTTATGAAGGCATTTTCATCACTGAGGTTCGTTCCCTCCTCTCAGATGACTGTAGATTGTGTCAAGTTGACATAAAATTAGCCTCCCCAGATGGGATTTGTGTCCTCCTCCTGGAAGGATGTTGCTTTTGCACTAGCGAATTCAACATGGTTCAAGATAGAGCCCAAAGACAAATAATTCAGCGATAGGCTTCCTTTTGGTGGGCTTCTGGCTCCCTCCCTCCCTGGCTGCTTCTCTTGATCATTCTAACCCTCTTATTTTTACCTTGGGTTTTTTGTTTTGTTTATGTTAGTGGTTTTTTATTTTAAGGGGGATTCTTTTCTTTTTTAACAATTTTTATTTGTACTTTACATAAAGTACAAATAAAACATTGGTGTTCTGCATGGATGTATGTCTGTGTGAGGGTGTCAGATCCCCTGGAACAGGAGTTATACAGTTTTGAGCTGCCTTGTGGGGGCTAGGACTTGAACCCGGGCCCTCTGGTGATGGAGGATGTCCTTCTGTATGCTGTGACAACACATATCTCTTATTGGTGTGTGAGTAAACACTGATTGGCCAGTAGCCAGGCAGGAAGTATAGGCGGGGCTACCAGACTAGGAGAATTCTGGGAAGAGGCATGCAGATAGGAGCTGCCAAGGAGACATTATGTAGCTACCGGGAAGGGAGGACTCTGAGCATTCTCTGGTAAGCCAAGACCATGTGGAAATACACAGATTAATAGAAATAGGTTAATAATTGAGAGAGCGAGCTAGCCAATAAGAAGCCTGAGCCATCGGCCAAACAGTTAATAATCTGTGTGTTTATTTGGGACTAAACAGCTGCGGGACCAGGAGGAATAGAGACTCCCATCTTCACTCTGGAAGAGCAGCCAGCACTCCCAACCACTGAGTCATTTGTGCAGCCCCGGTTTTGTTTTGTTTTCTTTCAACACACAATTTCTTTGTGTAGCCTTGGCTATCCTGGAACTCACTGTGTAGAACAGGTGGCCTTGAAGTCACAGATCTGACTGCCTCTGCCTCCCTGGGCAGTGCTGGAATTAAATGTGTGTGCCACCATGCCCAGATTACTTTGTCTTTTAAATGTTTTACCAAAAGTTCTTCCTGGATCAAATTATTGCCACCAGTGGGTCCACATTAGGACAATGGGTATCCTAGGTAGGTCCCCAGCTGGGCTCCTAATCTGTGGTGTCATCTGTTTGAGATTTTTCTCAGCCTGTCTCATTAGTTGCTCTCACAAAGCTTCTCCAAGAGCTTGTGCTGGGCAATCACACAATCCACTGCAGACAATTTCAAACTCTCCTCCATGAAGTAAACCTGACCCATGCTCCCTTAGATCCTAGGGACAAAGTCTAGCCCCATAGTCCCACTCTAGCAGGAAGCCACCAATGAGAGAATACATCACACCTTTTTGTTTGTTTGTTTTAATCTGTCCTCAGTGTTTGGAGTGAAGGGTTAGCGTTCTAAGGGCTCAGGTGTGCTGAGAAACTCCAATCAGGAAAGTTGGCTTGGCAGATAACCCCTGTGGCCTGCCATGGTCCTGAGCGCTTTTGATAACGTGATCACCATCCCAACCCGGCTGGTGTATCCACCACCTTAAGACTGCAGGGTGACTGACCTGAAGGTGGCATCTTCTATCCCAAAGTTCCCTTTCCCACCCTATGGCACCCCAACCCCCTGTGCCACATGTGCACAGCCTCCACTTCCTTGGGGACACTGATGCCCTTCAGTTCTGGATACAGGAACACTTCCGTTTCTGGAGAGACTGGCCTCTGCGCTTTCATTCCCAAGGCTCCTCCATCAATTTTGATCCAACACCCATAGCCTTGGCTAAACATATTCAGGATCAGCCTTGACCATGTCTGAGCGGTTTGGACTGGTCATCCAGAAAGGGGAGGGGGCTGGTGGAGGAGTCCCAGGTCAGGAGGGTGAGGAAAAGCTGGAAGTTTGGCTTCTTCCTTATCTATTTATGGCCTCTTTCTCTATTGGTCTACCTGTCAGGGACCTGTCAAGTTCCTTGTCCTTTATTCTGTCAAACTACTAGAGAATTATTCTAGAAATGGCCAAACAGAAGGATGGATTGGGTGTCCCAGGCTGTTGTTTTCACTTTTCTTGGGGAGATGAGGATGAACATCCCCTGGTAGGATACCAGTAACAGAGGGAAGTAAGATTTCTACTCAAGTCCTGCTTAGTAAACCAAGGAATTTGTTAGGCTTACTTACATAGAGTGGATAAGGAGTTACAGAAGAGTAGGTTACCGTTAAATAGGTCCATCAGGCTGGTGCAGTACCCTTAGATACCATTGGAGATGGCTCCTTCCTTGTGGATTTTGGACCCTACCTGATTCTCTGGTAATGCTAGAAAGAGGAGTCCATTTTATTTTTATTTTTGAGATTTTTATACATGTGTATGTATGTATACACACACACACACACACACAGAGAGAGAGAGAGAGAGAGAGAGAGAGAGAGAGAGAGAGAGAGTTGGTTTTTGCTTTTCAAGACAGGGTTTTTCTGTGTATCCTTGGCTATCCCAGAACACTGTCTACAGACCAGGTTGGCCTCGAACTTGGAGACCCACCTCCCAAGTGCTGAAATTAAAGGTGTGTGTCACCACCACCCGGCTGAGATTACAATTTACAAACAACATTTCCCCCTTTTCCTCCATCCAAATCTTCCTTCATGCCCCTGCCTGCTCTCATTCAAATTCATGACTTCTTCTTTCATGGATTGTATATATATATTGCTCCTGGGGAGAGGAGAATGAATGTCTGTTAACCTCTGAAAGGGCTGTTAATCCCACCAATCAAGAATAAGACCAATACCACAGTTTAAAGCCAAATTTGAAACAAGCTTTAATTAAATACTGATGCAAGCTTTAATTAAATATATACAACAGAATATGCATATATATATATTTGTTTATACACATATATTCCTAAACATAACCTGTTGAGTCCATATATTCCTAAACATAACCTGTTGAGTCCGTAGCTTATGTTTTCAGGGATGATGAACCTGAGCCATCAGGGACATCCGCAGCATGGGTGTGAACAAGTGAGCCCATGCTGCCACGTGGTGGTGCTGGGACACAGCTGACACGGGAATAGGATAGCACACACTGTTGTATCAAGCCCCTGGGCCAGGGCTCATGTGTGAAGAGGTGAGCCCAGACCACTGGAAAAACGGGCATTTCTACACCACCACATGGTGGTGCTTTGACTCAATAAGGTAGAGGTGCTGGGGCATGGCGTATGTGCAAATACACAGCATTGCTACCTGGTGG